AATAAACAGTACTAATGATAAAGAAACACGAAGTCAAAAGACAGGGACATAAACTATTAACATGCAGTGTTATCAAGTTATATGACATGCATTTGTCAAACGCATTCAAGGAAGACAATTTTTCCAAATGGGGGTGAAAATCCAAAAGAAGCAACCAGAAAATTCTACCAGAAGAACTACAGTTCTTCACCAAATTTTCGTAACCTTAACTGCAACTCACTAACATTACTTCTAGAAATTATAACTGACGGAAAAGTACCACAAATTCTAACAGCAGGTTTATGTACCCAAAGACTTATTTTCTTGGGAGGTTACAGCCTCTAGAAACAGGTTTCCTTTCCTTTTAATCTTTAGAAGCTAGATCTTAACATTCTGAATATTTTTTTTGGCTTGTGTCCCAAATCTAAGTATGTTTAATCAGTTGCTGAAATTTGAACAGGCATTCTACTATCTTAGCATTTTTTTATTTTTCAATGAGCACATCTCTTCTGCATCCAGCCATGAATATATTTTTCAAAAACTGGGACAGTTTTACAAACAAGTAACACATACAATGTTTTTTTCCCTATTCAGAGAACTGGATTTGTCTTATGGATGCTCTCAGCAGCAATCATTTGGGAAACCACCTTAATCTGTTTCAACTAATCTACAGAGATGAGTTTGATACCACAGACGTTTCAAAACAACATTTTTCAGGAAACTGCCACCCACACCTTTGTGGCATCAACATATTTTATAGATTCTTAATCTTAAGAATTTATGTTTCTAAACTCAGCTTTCAGTTAACACACACATACTACGACCTTTCAAGGGGGAGAGTGTTAGCAGGCATATCCTCCAGGTATTTGGTAGTAAAACAGGTCTTCAAGCCAGTAAAGCTGAAGAGAATAACATTCATTATTTTCAGAAAGAGCTTGTTGCTGTTAGCATTAGTTTTTCACAAGAATTGGTAGTGAGACAGCTTGAGTGAGACACTAAGATCCTCTGGGAAAAAGCAAAGCAGATAATTTTTGAGGCAGCCTACTTTAAAACCACTTGCAAATTTCTGGAATATATATATATAGGCTTACTATGAAGTACATGATTTTGAGAAGTCCCAGAATAAGTCTGCTTAAATAAAAACATCAAAATACTAGTTCTCAATTATGTTTTCCTACATGTTTAGTTACTATGTCCTATAGCATTCTTAACAGTGATTTTACAGTAGAATCCTTTATGATGAATATTTTAACTGTTACTCAGAGATCATATGAAAAGTTACCTTGGCTTCATTGCTTACAACAGGTTTAACAGGGAACTGAACTTCTGTGGCTTTTAATATTGTATTTTCTTGTAAGATATCTTGCTGTGATTGATTGTGGCCAAAAGGCTGAAAAATAAGCACATTATTTTCTTCATGAGAGTTATTCAACTACTTTGATTTCATAAATATTTATGCTGTAGTAAGTTGCTGAAGTGTTAATACAAACTGCTAGCCATTCTGTAAATAAAAAGTTTCTGTCAAGATTTTCTACATTTCTTGCAGTATCAATACACACCACCAAAAAGTAACGCAAGTAATTTCCCATGTAGACTCACATCTTTGTGAGTATAATTCACATTCTACTCACAACAGGCATTTACACTAAACCTCCAATTTTCAAACAAAGTTTTCCTTACCTTTCTACCATAAAGGCATTGGAAAAAGATTACTCCAACTGACCATACGTCAACCTTATTAGAAATCTTTGGTGGCTCTTTGCCAACTACAAAACACTCTGGAGGCAGGTACCTGGAAAACAAAATACGCATCTCAGTGTCTGCAAGTAGACGTATGGCATCACTGGAACTTCCTCAAATACCAAATTATACAAACACTTCACATACACATCTCTGATCTTTTGACAACTGTACAGCTGCCTTATGATTCACATTCCAACACCTTGCACAGCCATCAAAACTGACATGACAGCTTTTTGTATAGTCAGTCAGTCAAACAGAGGGTCTATTTCACAGAAGCACAAATACCAATATTCTCTACCTAAATCACTAATTATCACCTTTCTTTGTTTTATTTTAATTGGGATCCTAGGTTAAATATGAACTGTCTCCATCTATCAGAGCAAGAAAAGATGAAAGCCATATAGAGCATTTTATAGCAAGGCCTGGTTAGAAATCAAAGATAATATAGATATGGCTTAGAGACCCTTTTATCTAAGTTTTTAAGTAAGAACGATGACATTAACCAGAGGGGTATATGGCTGACAAAGGTAATTGCTATTTCCATTCCTATAATCTGCAGGAAGCCATACTTAAAGAGCTGAAAGCTGTGGAAGTTCCTGTGCCACTCCTGAATTACAAAAGAACTGGTGAAATGGAACCTCCTTTAAAAAAAAAACAACCAACCAAACAAAACCTCCCAAGCATATCAATGTGAAGGCAGTCAAGTATTATCGACTGTAACATCTAGGATTAAAAAAGGCATAAAAGCTATTAGAATATCTACAGACCAGACATTCTTTCATCAACACCATACAAGGCCTTTAGAGAAATTTTGAAGAAGTACTTGTAGAAATGGAAATAAGGAGAAAAATGAGATAAGAATGCAACATAAATATGAATTTCACACAGTATCACACCTGGAATACTCGTGTACAATTCTGATTACAACAACCAAGAAAAATGAGCTTAAAGAGATGCACGTGCAAAGAAAGCTACTAAAATGATCTGAAGAATTGAAAGCCTACAGTTCAGGGAAAAGTAGTGAAGGCTATAAAAACACCAAGAGGAAAGTACGAGGAAGGCAAACAACCTACTTGAGGGAGGACAGTGTTGGCACAGGAACAAACAAGTATAAACTGGCCACAAATAAACACAGTCTGTAAATTAGAGGATTAGGTTTCTAATGATCAGAGAACTGAGGTTACAGAACGCACTTCAAATCAGATTACTGGGGACAAAACACTAACTAAATTTAATACAAACGTCTTTAAGTTTACAAAAGAGATTATGTGATCTGACTATCTGGAAAGGCAGGTAACTGGACCCAGTGGCTGAGGAAATCCCTTCCAGGACTATGGTGCCGGCAGTCTGTGCAATCTGCTCTAAAGGGACTCATCCCCCACCTCGGCCTCATTCAAAATATTTCCCTCCTTAATGAAGACTTTGGGCTCAGAGAAAGTATGATTCAGTAATGCAGAGATTTCATCATGAACCTATAATGGTCACAGACCTTCCTTTATGTCTTAGTTTACAGCACCACTAATGCCTGTGGCATTTTAGATGAAATCCAAAAGCTAAAATTTTGTTACATACATTGGTACAACAAATTGGTCTTTAGATAGGTAAAGCCTTAAAAAGAGTAACAAAAGCGTAACACTTCTAAAATGTTTCAACTTGAATAATTGTCTTCTCACAGCATGTGCGCGCTGGCACTTGTGCAAGAGTATGTGTGTCTTCTCTTCTAAAAAATCTGAAGGAAAAGGAAAAAACTTTATTACGTGCAACTTCCAAATATGGGAGAAGTTGCAGAGCAAATGGGAATAACACTGGCTTTTCTGTTTAGTTAGGTTTCAGCTCCTGACTCTGATCTTGCTACAGGCAGAACGAGGAGAGTAAGAACGAGAAGAGTAAGAACAAATGAACTCACAAATAGTAACCTGGCCAATATAAGCTGACACAGCTACCATGGTAGCTGAAAGAGCTACTGTGCCATGAAGAATCTGCATCTTCAGAGATAAAATTCTAGAAAGAGTTTTTCTGTAAGCTTATTGTCATTCCTGTTCTGCAGGCAGCTCTAAAACTTCAGGTTTTTGGACAAGCAAGCAAGTGCATACAGAAAACAAATCACAGCTGCTGAGCTGTCATTAACCTTTAGGATGGAAGAGTGAATACTCTTTTGTCCTAAGAACATTACCTGCTGGTAATCCCTGCTCTAAGATCCCCAAGGACTAAGCACCCACACTTAATCATCATAGCTCTGTCAAACATCTTCAACCACCTGCAGCCGAAGATTAAACACCTGCTTCTTCAGGGAAACCATGTTTCTAAATCATAGTGATCATCTCCACATTTTTTTATACACATAAAAAATAAACAACACACTCTCACACTCTCTTATCTTACTTGCTATGTTACCACTCTAACATTTGTGCATATCAGCATTCACAGTGCTGCACAAAACTCTTGTTTGTCATCCATTTTAATATTTTTAATGTTAGCTCTTTCTCCAAATTGGCTTGGTAAGAGAGCACTTATGAAACATGAACAGCAAAATCAAACCAGGTATTACCAGTAAGTTCCTGCTCCCTGTGAAGTTAAATCCATTCCATCCACTCCGTAGCTATCATCATCCATTATTTTGGAGAGGCCAAAATCAGTAATTTTTATTTCTCCACATGCTGTTCCATCTACAAGAAGGATATTACCTGTCCAGGAGGGGGGGGGGGAAAAATTACCTCAAGAAAGCTAACAGAATGCTTTATTTTCACAACCAGGTTAAATTTGCAGGAATATCTAAGCTCATGAGGGCAAGCGACAACTTTACATCATCTTTATACCCTGAAGCCCAGAGTAACTTGACTATGACACGTTTCAGTGCAGTCTCAAGAACTCTCTAGGTTATTATCATCATCTGAAATGGCTCCCTCAGCTGGGAGCTGGCTGGACAGCAAGGAAACACCAAAATGTGGTGAGGAAACACCAAAACACACATAGCAGGATGCCAGTTACAATGAAGTTTCGTATTTTTCTGCCCAGAACAAATCCTACACTAATGGTTTCAGGGCTTGCATGTGCCATGAAATTGTGCCAAGAAATTGCTTACTTCATGTGTTAAAGTATAATTTCTTGATATAAAAGTTATTTGATGAAGTTCCTCTAAGAATAAAGACTTATGAGACTAAGAATACACTTTGTACAATTCCATAATGTGAGAGAAATCTATATGAATCTAATTTATTACATAGCAATAAGCAAATAGGCTGGCATTAAGAGTTACGTTACGAACACCACACTTGGAAGTGTAGCAGATTAAAGTACATGAAGAATTCAAGCATCTTTCCTGAATGGTGGTAAATCAAAGGCCATGGAATCAAAACATAATACAATGCTTATGACAATGCTTGTTATCCATTGTAAAGAAAACTTTCATAAAGTCCTGTTTTGAAGTGCTTACATTGGGATGCTGAAAGTGACTGATTACCTATTTAAATCCTTTACAGACTAAGAAATACAAAAGTGAAAAATTATTTACACATCAGCATTCCACAATGATCAGACAGGAGAGCCAACTAATGATATTATCTGTTTACGCTGCTAAAGACCACTGTACGTATGCTGCTGTATGATTTTTTGCCTACAAATTGAAATCAAAATAATACAAAGTAGAAATGTTACGGCAAATATTTTTTCAAAGGAAAAACAATTTTGGCAATAAAGCTAGAAATAAAGGCTGTTTACAGTAAGCCTGACATACAGAAGATAATTTTGGTATTTTCAGACATGAATTACAAACAAAAGGATAAAAAAGAAAATAAATTTTCAATTGTAGCATTTCTCATTTACCTGGTTTAAGATCATAGTGTATAATAGGGGGCTTGATCTCATTGAGATACCGTAGTGCATTTACTATTTGCATTACAATGGACCTAGCTTCCTTCTCTGACATCAATTTATGTTGCTTGAGATAGAAATCCAAGTCATTGCCTTCACAGTATTCTAACACCGTGCAAAACCTAGGGTAGAATTCAGAGAGACAAAATTAAATAACATCTCAAACTGCACAATCAGAAACAGAGACAACCTAGTTTGATACTGGGAAGTTTAAGAATGGCTGCCTGAATATTAAACTATATGAATGAAATTGTTAATAGAACACATGGCGTAACTACTGCTTTATGAAAACTAACATCAATCAGAACATTCATACTCACCAAAAGATAAAATGTACCCATATTGACAAGAGGTTAAGTTGAAAAAAACCCACCTTACTTACGTAGGCATGTTTCTCAATAGAAAAATAAGATGTGACATAATTTCATGCAAAGAGGTGCAGCCCAGTGACCTTATTACCAGCTTAGGCTAGTAACACTCCTGATGCCATTTACTCTTGGAAACTTGTTTAAGCTGCAGTAGCCCTTGCTCTACCCAAAACATGACAGCACTGCATACCCCTTTCACCCTCAGGACATGTGTTGCAAAACACTGTTTTCATCACTTTATAGAAGGCCTGCAATATTTAGCTGAGACTAGTGTCTGCAACTAGTGTGGGGTTTTTTTAAAGTCTCCTTAAGGACTAAATACTTTGGCTGAAAGCAAGAACATGCTATTTTTGTTCAAATACTCTTTATTTCTGTTTATCTAATATACAGCACTAAAATCCCTGCCAACTTCTGGAAAAGTACGATTTTATATACTTACGTATCTGTATCCAGGGAGAAGTAGTCATATAGTTTAACTATCCGGGGGTGATCCAGTTCTTTGTGTATTCTATACTCTCTGCAGGCATGTCTAAAAGAAAATGGATACATTAACCTTCTACAATCAGTAAAATGCTATTCAGTTTAACATATGAAGCGTAAGTCATTAATATTTACTTGTGGTAGTTTTCTTTCTTTTCATCCCTCCAGCTTTTGTTAAGCTGGTGAATCTTTACAGCAGCGTATCTTTGTTCATAAAGATCAAAAGCCTAAAAAAGAAATCAACAAACATGGAAAAGTTATAACCAAAGATGATAAAAACAGCACCCAATAAAGAGAGGGAAAAAATTGGCATGTAATTGACAAGTCTATTGGCAAGTCTATTGTAATGTTACCTCCCTCCACGGGCTAATCACAGTTTGCTCAACAGGTGCTTAAAGGGTATACCACAGTACAATCACTCTGCTTACTTACATCCCCTGCCACCCCCAATGTACTCGGCTCAAACACTAGGTTTAGCAGACCCAACACACTCTACCTTGTATACTTCACTGAAGCCACCTCGGCCAAGTAAATGGAGTAACAAATATCGTTCATTCAACGTGGGGTGATCTTTAAACCTCAAAAGAAAAAAAAAAAATTTAATTCTATGTAAGGTACACAAACAGAGTCTAAAATGTAAACCTTTTAGTATTACTCCTCAGACGGAGCTTTCTTTTTACTAGCAATATATATATTACATATAATATGCTGACAATGTCACACTATGTGTAACCTTATGGCACAACTGTACCAATGGCCAATTTCAGTACCTTTTGACTATTTAGTGTACAAATGATATCACCATACCATCACCAAACCAGTCAATTCTGACGAACTTTTTTGTTATTTTTCTCCATTTCTGTGAAGATAGGGAAAACACCCTTAAATTTAAACATCTGAGAGAAGGGTTCTCTCTTTGTTGTACCAAAATTTAGAGAAGTCTCAAACTTCAGCCTTTTGGAACAGACAAGGAAGATATTCTTCCAATTTCACATGAAAAGTGAGTGGACCTGTTGTATACACCCGCCTCTTTTTAACAAAATGGATTCTATGTAACACAAAGTAGTTAACAACAGCAATATAGGGGAAACACACCAAAGGACTGAATATCTGCTCATACTCTATTCAAAAGCATCCTTGACCAGTAGCTCAATTCTTTTAAAAACACACTCAAATTTAATTTCTATTTTCTTAGTCCTTCTACTAAATGTATGCCTCTAGTGAGGCCATTCTTGTGAACCTTACCACCTTCCCTCTCCACTGCTGCTTTTGCTACTCTGTGGCTCTCCATGGCTCAGAACCTGTACCTGGCAGGTAGCCCCAGCACCACATGGGCTCTAAACCCAGACAGGGAAGTCCTAACTTGCACTCTCAACTTGTTCTGTTATTGTAGTGCAAATGTAAAAAACACATGCAGACATACAAGTTTACCGATCTCTGAACTGGGCAATACTTCATACTCTTCATTGTCAAGGCTGGAACCCCAAAGAGCTGAGTCTGCAGACTACTTTGTATTTGAGATGCTTGGGGAGGTCACCCATGGGTAGAGGGACATAGAGGGGAATGTTGCTAGAACAAGAAAGAGGGCTCAGCTTTGCATCACAACTGCAAGCTGAAAAGCCAGCAGGATTTGAGTCAGGACCCAACAGTTGCTTCACTTCAGAACCCTGTCCCTTATCAAATGGCCAGTTGCCGAGACATGTTAGGAAAGACAGCAGGGGCTATAGACAATTTCTCCATTGGGTCTGTCTTCTATATTATGAATGTAAACGGCAGCTTGGCCATTTGGTAAATGCTCAAGTTCTAACTCCTGCAAAAACATGTTTAAAGCTTTTAGTTCTGCACCACAAAATGTGTTAACATTGACTGCAGAAAATGAGCAGTGAAGCTGCAGCATTCTGCTTGTCCAGGTCCTGTAAATCTGTTTTTAAACTGGGACTGTAATTTAGACATTCTTTGCCCCACATACGCACTGTTTAAACAGTCAAAATGGGTAATTTTTCTGTGGCATTTATTACTTCATGCTGAAGTATCCCTTTTAAAAAAACAGAACTCTTCTAATGCAAATACTGAAGATTAAAAAAGTTATCATTTAACCTGCAAAGAGCTGCTTGTTTATTTGCTGCAGGCAATCTATTTTTAAAAGAAAATATTCTGCCATTGAATTCTAAGAATCAAGCCATTATTTTTTGTATCCAAAACACAACACCAATTTAGCTGCCAATTACCACTATGGCCACACAGGAACAAAAATTTTCTGTATTCCTGCAGAGTAGGTATGGAGACCATTAAAACAGTTAAGTGCAATTTCACATCTTGCTGCTTTCATGTCTAAAAGTCTTGGTTTAGATGTAGTTCTATTATATCTAAAAAGTAAAAATTAAAATAAAATCCTACAGTCTTAAGGCTAGTGTTCCATAAACATTTAGTAGTGCAGAAAGCAGCCCAGTCCCATCACTTCCTTCCACCTGGCTTCTCATACCACCCTTGCACTGCCCTCTCTCCTCATGGAAACATAAGCATTTTTGCAACTGGGGCAAAGAACTGGACCAGGAAACTGATCTGGAGTTAAAATTAATCCAGAAAAAGAAACCACAGGAGCTGGTTTCAACTTGGATCAATTTCCAACATCTGTTCAGTAAAGAAATGCCACTGCAGGCATGTGAAAGGAAACAGGGCAAGGGCATAAGCAGTCAGGGATAGGCAGATCCAGTTCCTTTTAGGCTGAAGTGCTGGTATTAGTGTTTGTATTTGCCATCACAGAAAAGAGACTAACTTTTTAGGTTATGTAATTACTACATTCAAATCTACATAGTAATTGCTAATATTAACTAACAACTTAACCTTATGGTATATTGCGATGCAAGCTGAAGTACAGAATAATGTTTAATATGCCTTTCATATGTACAGATACCTAAAGGGAATGAAATCACAGTGCAATAAAACCAAACGTGATTTTAACTGCATCACAAAATTGCTGCTATTGCAAACCTCCCCGCCATTTTCTTGCGTTACTGTCAGCTAAATTAACTGCATTAGGTTCCCTTACAAGTATTCTTTTTACCCTAGTAATATAGTCTAGGAAGTTTTAGCTCTCCTGCACTGTAAGCTGTGCCTATGTAATTTTTTGCGTATTTGGTAAAACCATTAAAACCATTAATAAGTTTACCAAATTATAAGTAATTCTTGATTTTTAAAAGTTGAGAACTAAAAGAGAACCAAAGAAAAAATCATGAACAAGCTTCTCCTCTGTAGGTAAAATGTGATTTTAGAGCATTATTTTAGAAATAGACATCCAAAATTAAGACAGCGAGTCTCTTACTGTGAATTATCTTCATTATTTATTCTCTTCAGTTCTCTTATGTGAAGATTCCTAACTCTTTCCAAACGTTCAAGTTCTGCTTGTATTTCAGCCTCCTCCTGCACATGAAAAGAATGAAATATAAAAGCTCATTTACTCCCCATTTGAAAAGGATATTTTTACCCCTGCATCAATACTAGTGGTGATGGAGGAACATTACATTACAAAACCCTGCTGATCTAGAAGAAAGCACTGCTTTTCTCTTAAAGCCAGAAAAATTCAGAAAGATAAGGTAAAAGCCTGTTTCAAGGAACCTTTCTGTCCATGAACCCACAGGTAACGGGACGTTCATCGTTTTGTTCTGCACTGTAGGGATACTATTTGAAATGAGAGGCAGCTGGGTTTTGTATTTCAGCCAAGGAGAGAAATTATTTGGGAAGCGGTCTAAAATTGATGTACAAAGAAAAAAACTGAGATATGTGCAGTTACAGATTTTGTAAAAACTGATGAATGAAGAAAAGACATTTGAAATATTTTGAGACTGAAGTGCGAATAAAAAGAAAGAATAAAAGAGTAAGTCATTATAGCAGAAACATTCTTAAGATGTTGATACAACACACCAAAACCAAGCTAATTCAAGCTTTTCCATTCTTATCTTATTAAAATTACAAATGCAGAATATGTACTGCCTAAGATTTTGAGTGCAATTTCATAAGCAGCATGTCAGGTACAAGCACATTCCCTAACTAATTTCAGCACTTAAAATTATCTCATGTTTATGCTACATAACTGAGAACACCGAAATAGTTGTTTATTCAGATTCTCTAAGAAAGTAAAGAATTCATGATGCTTAATTTATGGAAACCTACGTATCTATATTTAAAGAGGAAAACGTACACTCATTGAAAAATGCTGGAGAAAGGGTTCTACTGATTTCAGAGTTAGTACTTCTAGCACTTGAAAGTTTTAATAAAGGGGAGACAAAAGTAGCTCATACCAGACAGCTCATAATTATGGAATTATTCTAGCTGAAAAGGAAAAAAGAATGTCTGGCACCTGATAGGTATTAGTAGCAGTGCCAGTGGAAGCAGTACCCCACATCATCTCTTGTTATTTTGGCACAGCCTCTTGTAGAGCCAAATGGTGAACCAAACTTGAAAACTAATCTTTTTTTGTTTTTTTAAAGCCTCAAAAAAAGGATATCTATTTGGTTTTTGAAAGGAGCTAGATCAGTTCTCCAATTTATACTGTGACTGCACAACCTGGTGGTAGTGGTAAAAGCAACAGGTCAACAAGTCATAGCACAAAGGGCTAGAGGCAGAAGTCAACAGATGGGAGAGAAAATGCTCTAACGCTGATACTTTTAAACACTGTATATCATAAAACTACATCCGGAAACAACTGTATTTATAAAATCTAAACCACATTAAATAACTGCATTTTCAGTAAGTTGAGAAGTCTGGACCAGATCATTTCAGTGGATATCCTGAATCCCTCCCCATAAGCTAAGGAAGAAAACCTGCCGTCCCAAACCAAGACATTAGATGACTCTCCATTCAAAAAATGAAAAATAAATCCCTAGTAATTTAAAAGCTGGACTAAGTAACACTAGCGTGCTAGCAGATCTGTGTGGACCTTTGTTTTGCTTCTCCCCTCCCAGTTTATAGAATGTTAAACTCTTTTTTTTTTCCTAATTTAAATTTATCTTGTTAAGAGTTCCCTGTGAAATACCCTGAAATGATATGCAGTTCCTCATAACCCAACAGTCCTTGCTAAAGAATTCTAGCCCTTCTCCCCCCACAAAAGGCCACACACTTAAACACGCACAATTGCCTATGTTCTTCCCAAAGGCTGACAAAAAAATCTGTCAGTTATGCCTCTTTCGGGCTTTTTTGTTCATATATTATGCAATTCAGTGGTTCTCAAAATGTGGTTCATAGGCCAATGTTAGTCCAAAGAGAACTGGCTGGTTGCATTGTTTCCAGCTGTTATTTAGGACACTCAGGCTGTGAATACCTTTAAGCAAGAATGAACCAGCTTAGCTGCCTCAGGTCACTGCTATATAAAAGGAAGTGAGAAAACAAGAGCCTCTCTCCAGGACCAAAGCTGCTAGCTGGAAAAGAATTTCCTGGGGAGCAGAAGGAAAAGAAAACTGGTGGTGGCAGCATGTACAGGGCACCAAAAATAAGAGCACCAGGAAAGCATCTGGAAAGTGAAAAGGAAGAGGAGCAGACAGCAAAATAGCATATGCAGAGGGAAAGACGAAAAATAATGTAACCAGCAAAAAAACACTATGGAAGAAATACAGCCATGTAAAAAGATTACAAGATCGTTTTTCTTAGTTAATGACAAAATCTGCATTGCACATAAAGAATTAAAATGAAAGTATTTTAATTATTATTTACAGATATATGCAAACATGATTTGCTAAGAAATAACATTTGTTTCCCCTCTGGCATTTAGTCAACTTCCATCTATACAGAGCACCCCAGCACTGATGCTCAAAGTGAAAACAAAATTCAACAACTTTGTAACAGCTTCCTTCACATGTCACTTGAAATTTCCATTAGACTTCCAAAAAGTTAAAGCGTGGAAGAAAACCCACAGAACTTCCTGTGAAGCTGGTGCTATTTCTAAAGCATTAGCCATGAAGAACTATGTGGGCAGTCTACTTCACTAGTGCCAACAAGTTTATATGCAGACTCCCTACCACAGATTCAAGTACTTGCTTGTCATATTTTTCAAAACCAGCAGTGTTCTAAAGGGACCCAGTTCAGTTTATTATGGCAGGATTTATAACAGGTGACATATACCTTTGAAAAGAACAGGCCTGAAACAGATTCTTGCAATACTTCAAGGGGAAAAACACTATGACCTTTTTCAATTGAACATCTCAAGAACTACCGCTCAACAGACAAAGGTACTTTTCTTTCACACTTGAGATATTTCTGCCTGCTTCAACTGTCATTCCTTTTCACAGGTTATAACTCAAAAACTTTACTTGAATAAACAATAGTTTGTTAATATCATAATTATCTCATTACACACATTTATTAGAATGATGGTCTTCAAGAAAAAAAATATTGGTTTGTTGGGGTTTTTTTTTCCCAAAAGTAAAAAACTGGAGTAAAATACCTGACTGCAAAAAAAAAATTTAAGATACAGAGAAAAGATCTTCCATAAAAGTAGGGAAATTATATCTCCCTAACTGATAAAACTGAAGAGAATGTTGTAGATGTTCAAAACCTGATATTCATTCAGAAATGCAAAGCTTTTTAAAGATCAAAAACTAACATAAGAAGCCCATATATCAAACTTGGCTAACTCTACTTCCTGTGTTCTGAAACAAGAACAGTATTGGTGGCATCATCACTATTCCCACTGTTAGAAGGATTCAAGGAATCAGTACACTGTTACACTGGATGGACTCACAACTACTCCCCTGCACTCCCAGTGCTTATGGCAAGTCGCACAAAAAAAAAAAACCCAACCAAAAAAGGAAGCAAAGCCACTGTTAGGCATAAAATTGTACAGCACTTTTAGTGCTATGTTTTCTAAAAGTCAGCTCTCAACAAGCCCACTCCTTTTTTTGGCAGTACTAGTTTTTATGGTTTTGGGCACGGCCCAAAAAAATCTTGAGAGACCAGATACATACCTTTTTGAGATGTCCTAATCGAAGCTTGAAAATTTCTTCCTGTTCATGATACTCTGCTAGAGTCAAACTGGAAAAACAAACCAAACATGTAATTATAGCTTTTATATGACAGCAAACAAAACGATAGCACTCTTACTTAAATACTATAGTAAATACAGTATCTTATGTTAATTATTTACTACCATGATACTAGGAGTACATTTTTGAACCATTTGAACATCTTGGTTTGTAATTTCAAGATCAAAACATACTTAAAGAATGCCTCTGACTGGTATTCTGGAATATTAACTGCCTCTCCCACTGCACCATTTCTGTTCTCTCAGATTGCCTCTTAGGTTATCTGGATGCATCCTGAACCATATCACTATCCAAGTATTTTAGCTGATGCTACTCCACTGCTTGGTTCTCAACTCTTAATGAACCAAAGGATGGAGACCCAGAAACCAACTAGGCAAGACTGATAACACTGGATTTTTGAGCTGTGACTTAAAGAACACACTGCAAACCCACGCATTCCAAGTTCATTAACACTGCATTTTGCATGAGACCACAAATTCAGTTTGGAATCAGCATGCGATTCTTCTGCTTGTTCTCTTTTTATCTTCCTTTTGGAAAAAGATTCCTGCCTACAATTAATTCAGCAGTGTCTGTAGACTTGCTAGGACACAAAGTCAGTTATCATCCAGAAGGTCTAGACTGTTCATATAGATAAGTAACTAAGAAACACATGAACTGTATGCAGTATCCATCTGACAAATGAACGAAAAAGACACAGAAGATAATCCACCAAAGAAAAGAAACTGAAGAGACTTCAAGTTCCAGAAAAGAAACCATATGCATAAGATGAAGGGGAGCAAGGGATGGGGAAAGAGAAAGAGGTAGGGCCTCATTGAAAGGATTCACACAAAACCCTACTAACAAGTTAAAATTAACCATTTTGTTGTTTTGCCTAGATCTATTATTTCTTGCATGATGCAAAACTAAAACTAACAGGATAATACATTTTCACAAAGTTCATTTAGGGAGTTAAATTATCAACGGGAAGGTAAGTTATACAAGGTATTTGTAAGAGGACTATACATGTTTTTTATATTGCAAGTCAAAAGAATGAGAGTGCCTTGAGAATCACCAGTAGTTTGCCCAAAGGTGAGAGACACCAATTCAAATTCCTCTTACAGCAAATGCCACCTTTGACAAAATTTGCAGAATTATAATTAACAGCAAGACTTCTTCCTCCCTCTTAAATTTGGATGTAGTTCATCATAGTTTTTAGAATTCTAAACCATGTATTAATTTGGTGTCAAAACTTGTTAATAACAGGCGTGAATCTTTTCAGGACAAAACCTGCTTGTTCTGAAGCTTTCATAGAGCTCTTTCCTGCTCCTGATTTCATAAATACTGAATTTCACTGCCCCTTTCCTGACTTGGCCAGGACAGAAGGTTTAATTGATCAGATATTCTCCATTAATATTAGTGAAACTGATGGATTCTTTTTTGACTACAGCATCTAAATGTCCAAGAAACAACTTCACAAGACTAAATATTTCATCAACCTTCTGGTCTATAATGCCTTTCAGATTAGGCGACAAAAGTACCCATCACCACACCTTGTCAGGATCTGAGAAGGAAGCAGGAAGAAGAACTTTTAAAAGTTATCCTGCATCTTTTTTTCCTGCTGGAATGAAAAGCAGCCCTGTAGTCCAACCAGCAAACATTCCCAAACACTCTGAAGGTGTCAAGAGTGAGAAAATTTGTCTCTCCAAGAAAGGCAAAAGGTCCCTCAGTACCAGATTTTGGAACCAAATGTTTATACTCTTTTCCTGGCAGTATCTTCTCTGGTTTTTGACAATTTATGCTACATCTTAAAAGAAGACGCATTAAAGCAAATATGAAATAGAGTGTCTCAATACCTAGGAAAACTGGCAATGCATTCCCTTTACAGTCCAAACAACAGCAAGAAACCCAAGAAAGCAATACTCTAATTCCTGCTCTAATACATCTGCTGTACCTATCAAGGAGAATATCGAGACCATGCTAGACAACTCACAGCAGCATCCCTGTCACTTTTTCAATACTTCTACTCAAACAGTGAGCTACTCTAACATGGATTAAGTTCTCAATTAAAAGGCAAAGGATCAATGCCAATGCATATGAGGTTGAATGTTATTCTTTCCAGATTCTTGTCTGCGGTATAAATTAAAGACTTCTGAATTTCCAGAAACGCAGATAGTAACATTTGTCTTTCTTAGGAAGAAAAGTATTTAAAGCGGCTTAGCAAAGCTGAACCACAAGTAAAAGATACTGAATACAAAGTTTATGATATGACCTTCCAGAACTTTCAATGAACACCGAGAGCCCCAAATCCAAGGCTCCCTTGAAAAACTAACGTAATAAAGAAAATGTGGTCCTTTTAATAAAACCTCAGTTATCTACACAGAATTATGACAAAGTGCCTAGACAGCTTTAGCAAGTCCTGCCTTCCAAAAAGTTCTTAAATAGCCCCCTTGAGCACAGAACACAACATAGAGGTCATATTGAAAACATTAAGACGCGAAGTCACTATTTCCATGTTTCCATGCTATATCCCAATAAATGACTGTTTTCCATTTTTCTATTTCCTTACAAATCTAACTCTATTAGAGGCACAGCATGATTCACAGCAATTTGAAACTGTTGTTACTGACCACCACACTTTGGAGAAGGCATATAAAACGCTGAACTGCAGACATGGTCACTTTGGATTTTGTTTGTTTACTTTGAAAAACAGAACTTTATTACCTCATATTCAAAAACATTTACTCTTTTTTTTTTTAGTTTATCGCTTCTTATCTATAAATATACTGTACTTCATGCATACAACAACCCGCGGTAAAACAACAACAGTGTGCATGCTGTCTGTTTTCTGGCTACGAACCACCACCTCACTGCACAGGATGAATCACATCCAGCCTAGAGACTGCTTACCATCATCCCACCGCTTCCCACCTGCACCTTCCTGCACTTTTTGCAGAGTAGTGGCACGCTGGAGGCACCTTCTGAGAACAGGAGCCACCTATGAGATCATCATTTCCCACAGAAGAGGTTGTTCCTCCATCACCTGAGACACACAGGTCTCAGATGTAGAGGAAGAAAGATTGAGTAACACAGGGGAGGGACACTGGACAGAAACAGGCTGCTGCCAATGAACCAAGTAAACTTCAGTTGGATAGTCAGGCTTCAGGCTAACCGGGAAAGAAAGGCAGCTGTGAGTAGGTTGCATGAATTAATCTGGTAACAATCTGGTCCTGACCTTGATCTTTTCTGTTCAAAATTACAGTGCAATAAATGCTGTATTTTAACTGTCTACAGCCAAACAAGCTATCATACATGTGCAAAATTCACCAAAAAGCACTGGACATATTCTGTACATGCAGTGTAATTTTCCAGTGACATGTAGGACCACAGTGTGCCACCTTTACTTGTCACTGAAAGGCCAGCTTTCCTGGCCTGAAACACTTTTGTTAACTAGCAAAAATAGTCCTTCCAGTTGTTTAACAATGCTAAAGCCAAACTGCAAAGGCCTTGACATATTATGCATGGGTAGACATAACCAATCGTCTTTGCACTTCTTCCTCACATGTTCAGACATAACCTCCTTCTCTTCATCAGGGACTGTAGCAATAAAAAAAGGGGGAATGGGTTTAAACTTAAACAGGGGAAGTTCAGGTTAGATATAAGGAAGAGGTTCTTTACTGCGAGGGTGGTGAGACACAGGTTGCCCAAAGTGGTAAATGCTCCATCCTTGGCAGTGTTCAAGGCCAGGTTGGACAGAGCCTTGGGTGACATGGTCTAGTGTGAGGTGTCCCTGCCCACAGCAGGCAGGTTGGAACTAGATGATCTTAAGGTCCTTTCCAACCCAAACCATTCTATGATTCTGTGATCAAACCACTCTTACTAGGGGGTACAGACAAGACAAAAAAAACCCCAAAAACCAGCCATCAGCTCCTTGGTTTTCATGAAGATCAAGCCTGGCACATTTACAACCATCTCTCCTCCCTCCTTTTCTCAGTTGAAAAATCATCCGGATACACAGGGACAGCAGAATGTGGCCATGCCCCCAACCAACCATATACACATCCAGTATAAGTTTTGGCCTACAGTCTCTGAAGTGCCCCTTTCTTGGTCCAGCCTTATTCTCACTCTAGTTCCTCGAATTTCTGCAAAGACAGGCAGACACTGACCAAGACAAAGCCTTCCATGAGGTCTTTTTGCCCATTGTTTCCATGTTTGCCTTAGAAAGAGACTGCCTCAGGAAAGGAGCTGTCTTTGCTTGTCCTGTGAAGCCCAGACACATTGTTGGCACTTCAGCCTGAAAAAGTTTCTGAAAATATTTTTATTTGTTCCATACAGAACAGAATGCTCCCTCTAAATGATGCATTTGTTCAGCTACAGTAACAAACTCTGCCAGCTCCCTCTGCTCCCCTATTCCAAATTGCATGCAGGGACATGGAAAGGATGCACGCGGACTCAAACAGAGGAGCTGGGAAGCAGAGGAAGAGGTGACTGTGAAGTGAATACAAGTGACGTAGCTGAAGGGGCACAGAAGGGACTATGCCACCTAAACTAAGTAAAACATCCCTCCTAGAAATAATAGTCTAGTGAAATAAGAGCTGCTTCCAAAATGCAAGGACTAGCACTATAATGTCTCAAATCTCCAAAAAATTTGGAATGGAGTTTTCAAACAGATTTTTCCAGGGCTAAGGCAGCAACCTCTACTTCAAATAAAAGTGTGGGACTTTTTTTCTTTTTTCCTTTAAATAAATTTCAATTTCTTTCTTTTATGTAAGACTAATAAAATTACTTTGCTCAGTAAAAGAGAGATCTCTCAAAACCAAAACTACTTTTTAGTTTTGGTTTGGGCCACAAAAAGGGAAAGAATGATGGAAAACCCGGACAATGTTTAGACTCATTTGCTGCATGTTATTTAAACACCAAGCCCACCATTCCCTCACAGGACACTGGCAGATGGCCACTTTTATACTAATAACTTCAGTGCAAATATTTTGCTTTTAAACTCCTACCAGAGACCATAGTATATTCAACAAAACTACAACAATGCTCTTATTAAGAATGCCTCAGGCAACACCTTCAACCCATTTCACCTGTTTTCAGAAAGCGCTTCAATAATATTGCGTGTCAGAAAGCTGCAGATAATTTTGTCTTGTCAATACCTGCAGCTGGAGACATTTTCTAAGGCAAACAACGCAGTGGCACTTGTTGCTAACAATTGCTAGCAAGTTGTTTGTTTATTTTAAAAAGATCTGCCTAATCATTTGCATATAAGTTGTACTGCTTTACTACTGGTTTAGTTCATCGATCTCAAGCAGCTCTGCACTTCCCTATGCCTTATATAAAAAGAACCTCTTCCACTTGGCTCTACTAATTAAGATGATTACTTTCAAATTAACACAGAACAGTGATAAGCACAATGTAATAGGAGGGATGACAAATTTACTCTAAAATGGAAGTGCACAATTATTGTTTCACCAAAACACACAAGATGAGTGAACACATACTACTACACAAAATTGTAACGAACCCTAAATACAAACATTTAAAAAACTCTTTCAAGTAAAGGCCTAAGAGCATGATGCAGCTTAATGATTCTGTGATCTTGGACACATTAGAGACCTTCTCAAAGATCTGAAACAAAATTTATAAACTTATCACTTAGGCAACCAATCTCTATCTAGATCTTATAATGTTCAAATTAGGAAGCGTAAAGGCAAGCCAGCTTTGACTCAGTAACAGCTTACATTTCTGCTAGCATTAGATACAAAAAGGGCAATTCTGATAGTTCTTGTGGCAATTCCATAACCAGCAAGCATTTTCATATGCCACTTAACATGGAACTGGTTAAACCAAATTAAATGAAAATTTTAAAAGTTTTTAGTCATTTGGAAATTACTTAAAACTGCCCAACACCAGAAAATATCCAGAAGTCATAATCAGGAATCAATCTTGTCCTACTTAACGGTTACAATGTGTCTTCTGTATTTTTTCCCAAATGCACATTTTATTATCTCCTAAAGCAGCAATGAGATTATGGAAATTTAACATGAATGAAGACATGACCAAAGGCTGGCAAATTAAAAGTTTTGTAATTTTTCAGGTCTTCCCATTAATTGTTACTTTTAATATGAGGTATTGCATTCAAACAAAAAGGTGTTTTTAATGTGAGAGTAATCTTTACCATACTATTCAGAAGTACTAACATAGGCACAAAGTATTACTAAAGAATCAATTTGAGCAATGACTCTTCAGCTTTCTACCAAAATACACGAGTAACGCTAATCTGGATTTGCTTACATCACCAGCCTTACTACAGTATTTTAATGATATTTTTGTCACAGCCAAATAATTTCACAATGAGAACTTTAAGAATGATGCGTTATGCAAAACATATGCAGCTGTCTTCAAACTGATTGTCCAAATGTATTTATTTTGCAGATCTAAACAGAGTAACTTATTTACCTGCCACCTCCAGAGGTATAAACTACTACCTCCGCAAGTGAGAGGTGACAGGTGACTTTGCTCAACACATGTAGCCTACTTCTGCAAAGCAACACAGATTAATTTGTTAGTCTTTTTAACCCTAGTTATTTACTTTTTATTTAAGCTGATTAGGAACAGACACACTATCAGCTGCAGCCTCTTAGCATCAAGGACAATAACCAGTATCTCCAAGCAGCAACTTCTTAAAATACTCAAATTAAATGTCAAGAACACATCTGTCTGTGCCTTGAACTATGCCATTTCTGTCTGCAGGAAAAAAATATCACTTGAAAAAATGAAGAATTCTTTGATAGCTCTCAATTCTTATGTTTCAACGACAAAAAAAAAATCAACATTGTCAATATGTGAGATGGGATCAGTAGCTTCTGACAGTTGCTCTCCAGATCTAGCATTCAGAAGGGGAAAAAAAAAGTTCTTTTCCATTTGTTTGTAGACACGTCTTCAAATACTGAAGGCTGAAAAATGCTTTTCTTGTCAGCTAAAGTCTCTTATATGAAAAATTAAATGATGTCTAACTAAAGGAGAGGTTCCTAAACCAATGTAGATCAAGCAAAGTTCAACAGGTATCAATGACACTGTAAGAGCAGGAAACCATAATACGGACTCCTCTAGATCAGGAAAACAGAAGGAACATTGCATAAACACAGAATGGGCCTTTCTCTGATGACTTTACCAAAAATAAATTGGGCAATTGTACGGCATCTTCATAGGCAGTGGTGCAAATTTCCCTAACATCAGCAAGTCCTCAGTGAGAATATAGCTGCTGAATATACTGAGTGTCTTTTTATGCTGTTATTTGAATAGAACTCACACAGACAATATCTGAGAATTTATGTAAAAGACTGATTGAAATGTTAAACTTACAGCTGTGGTAAATTGGGTCTAACAAAGGGATCGTTTTCTGCCCCATTCACAGCTTTATTTTTCCTCTGCTTGGGTTCAGAATTGGCAGATGGTGCCTGAGAATTATTTGTAGTTGGAGGCTTTCGCTTGGCCAGGAGTTTTCTTTGCCTTTCAATGTCTTCCCTTTGTTGATTCACCCATTCTTGCTGCCTGTAAACCCCAAAAAAAGCTTTATTAAAGTTTCATCATTTTGCATTTTTTAAACAACTACCTTTGTAACTGATAAAGCATCGAGAAATTTTTAGAACATTTACTGTACATGTGAAAATTTTTCCAAGGAAAAAGAACACCAATGTTCTTCATGAGGTGGAAAAATTTTGCTAAAGTTTTGGCACAATTTACTTTTGAAATGTGGTGTTTTGTTTTGTTTTTGAAAGTGTTACCCATGATTTCTGTATTAGAAAAAAAAGAAATGTATCTGAGCTGCTAGATATCTCCTTTTATACCACTGAAAGAAATGTAACAGAGTGTACTTGACTTTTAGGCCAAACACTTAATTTGATTTTAACAATCCCAACTAAATCATCAATCTTGGTTCTATGGTAAACAATTACAGCTGTTATGTAGATAGTTTTTAAGACTCTAAAAAAAAAAAACAATGCCATAGGCAATCACATAATGCTAAAACTATGCAATGCCCTTCAGAAACTAAAATCTTGGTGACTGACTATTAAATTTTTATATATATATCTATATACACACACACAACTATATATATCTCCAAAGATCGAATCAGACCCGTTACCAAAGAACACCTTTTGAGGCCTTGCTTAATTATTTCACCATTATCCCCATGCTCTCCTAGAGCCCTTTTCCTTGGCCCCATCTCTGCTGAAATGCCTGTTGCAGCAGCTCTTTTCCAGGTGGCTGCTCTTCCCCCATCCACTTGCACTAGACCCTACCTGAGGCTGCCAGATTTGCCTCTTCCTTCATGGCACTGAGGAGCAGGATGCCTGAAAAAGCTGCTAGAGTGATGGATGCACAGGCAACATCTATGTGACCAATGAGAACCTCACAGACCTCATCTGCCCCAATGATCACCAAGATACGTAGTTAGCTGCCTGAAAAATCACCAGTTTGATTTTACAGCTCTTTCCACCAGCTCAGCTGAATAATTATGTACTGCCCATTTAGTACATTCATGCTTTTCTAAGGGTAGCTAAAAATCAAGTGAAACAAAGCTGTCTTTCAAGGGAACCCAGCTTACTACTCCCTCATAAAGGGAGTTCTGCGCTGTATTCTCAGTCTGCAGAAGACAAAACAAAATACAACGTATGAAAAGCTGCTCCAATCCTAGAACCTTAGTAGTAAAAAATCCACTAGAGGGAACTAACAATTAGTGAGAATTTTAAGAACATAGCATGGACTAACTTCACAAGATTTTGAAATGCAAAGCCATCTGTCCACTGTTCAGTAAATGAAGCACCATGACGAACTGTTGTAAAATGCCCCAGGCGTAATCTGTCTTGCATGCTCTTCTCTCTGCTTGCCAGCTTCTCCTGTGTGCTCTAAGAAAACAACAAAAAGAAAATTCATATGTAGTAATATAAAGTGTTCAAAAAGTCAGTAAAACACTTCCCCCCCCTCCCCAAGAGCAAGTTTCTAAGGGAGGGATAAAAGGAGAGTAGATAAAAATATCTTTTATTACTTTATTTCATTTATTCTCATTTCTGCAGAACTTCTAAAGCCGGCAGTTGTCAGAACTGATACTAATAACAATTTGTGCACAAAAAAAAGATAATCTGAGTTTGACTCAGTTTTTCTGTAAAGTTTGCTGTTCTTTATAATTAACAGAATTTTTTACTTGTAAGTACAGCAAAATGGATAGAGCACCAGCATCATACACTAAAATTATGTCTGTACATGTCTATTATACTAATTGAACCTGATTAGGTATCAGAAAGAGTACAGCTACTACACTTAATCTGGAAACTCCCTTGACAGAGCATCTATGTTACTACTTTTACCAAACTGAGTTCAGAAACCTCTACGTAGAAATGCACTGTGGGTAGACTTAACTTCCAGTAACAGAAGCAGATGCCCTTCTCAGAACCAGTCGCTACTACCACAGGCATTCTTGGGATGCAATAAATAACTGAGTCTACCTAGTCTGCTCCAGCATAAGAAGAGCGAGCACTATGCGTACTGCTGATGGACAGAAGCTTCTTTAACTGTTACAAATGCTCGTTTCTTTATAAGTGTCTGTGGCCCAAAATTACACATACGCATACAAAAAAAAAAAAAAAAAAAAGGAAGAGAGAGAGAAAGAAAAAAGTAGGAAGAAGTTGAAGTCAGAATTAATGATCTTTGTGCAAACAGACTTCTAGACTGAAAGGACACCTATGTGACCTTTCATGAAAAATGGCCTATTGTGATACCCTCAGTCTGAAGCTGCTCACCTAGCATCATGCTGATCAGATCTGATACTTCTTTTCCCTGCATTCCCCTCATGCTGGAACTTAAAAAGGACTGCAATAATTTATTTATGGCCTGCTAGTGAGGAAATTCTCCCTATTCCTCCAGCAGATCAGTTTGTGCCCTTGTATCTGACAGCAGTATCTAGTGGCTAGTGTTAGGGAAGAGACCTGGCTGTTTATGTTAAATTTTTTTGTATCCTAATTTTAATGAACTGATTTTCTATTCACTTTTTGGGTTCTGTTTTTGGGTTTTTTTGGTTTTTTTTGTTTTTTTTTTTTTTTTTAATTTTATTTTGAAGAAAAGGGAGAGAAACAAATATCTTTACCATCTAAGAAATTGGTGCTGGTTTAAATATAATTGCCATTAGATTTGAAATAAACATTTCTTTTACAGTAGTATGAATGTAAATGGTCACCTTAATTTCCTTGTTTCCATTAATTCAGAGCTAACATAGCATTCAATCATTGTACATGAAAAATTATCTCAGCCACTTCAGTGTCTCTCAAAGAGATTTTATCTGTCTCCTCTCCAGAACAGATTATATTCAGAATTCTTTTCCTCTGCTGTAATCTTATTCTGACAGGTTGTCCAGATAATTTGCCACATGCTAAATTCTTGTATTTTTTGCTTTGTTATATCTGAACTACTTGGGGAAAACCCTCCTTAAATTAAAACAAAGGAATCATAATGGAGTTCCGCAGCACCCTCAGTTTTTAATCAGAGATTTTAAAAGCAGCAAACTTACCTTTTCAATAAGAAGCTTCTTGCTCATTGAAATACATTTGTTTAATCTTTCTTTATATTTTTCAAGTAGCTTTTGTTGTTCATCTATTTGTCTTCTAAGATCACAGTTAGCCTAACAAATATATACAAAATATGAAAAGATATATGGAAAAACTATTTTCTTTTAAATCAGCTGTCATAGAAAATAAACCTTCACATGACTGAAGTAAGGAACATGCATAAACTTAAATACATGTGTATATATACAAAATGAATATATATGCAAAAATCTCATTTCCCACACACCCATATTGTAGAAGGATGCCTCACTTCCTTTTTTATTTCCTTTACACTGAGCTGCATTCTGTATCACAGAGCATTCAACATACAGATACCATATAAAAGCATTGTACTGATCACATTTCTAGTCCTCCAATGTTAAACTGAAAGTTTAATTTTAGCTCTGGATACTTTACATCTGAAGGATACATACTGCTGAAGTCATGTGAAAACCTAACTTTTAAAAAGGAAACAAGAAGTTCACAATGATAAAAGTTTCAATTATCTGAGTAGGAAGTTTAACAAGTTCCCTACATTCCAATTATATTTAAATTATTACCTTAAAAAGCACAGCAATATTATTTTGCTTAAAACTGTTTTTTTCTTTAAGGTTAGGTTTGTCTATCCCATACTGTTGAACATGTGCTAGAAAAATCTACATGTACAGGTTAGTATGTGTGTACTTGTTTACATATTAGCACTAAACAGACTACAACTTGTGAAAAGTGTTTTTTATTTCATATTTCTAAGTATCACCTCTCTTAACACTTCTTTCAAGAGCACAAGCAGTGATTTTTTTTTCTGTCCCACTGATAACTGCTATTCACAATTAGAACAACAAAATCACCACCTGTTATGTGAAATTTTATTATGAACTTAAGGAATTAATCAACTGCCTGCAAAACAGCATCAGTTTTCTTTGTACCTTCAGAAAGTCTGTAAAAATATTTATCATTAACAATCTGTAGCACAGAAGCAAAAAAAAAGCTTTATACATTTCATTTTATAGACTTCTTGGATTTTCAGGGGGGAAAAAAAAAACAACCAACCAAAAACCCCAACCCAAAATTAAAAACTCATTTCACTTTTTAATATAGGTAACTCAAGGGCAATTTTTAAAACCAAGGTTATTCAAACATTTAAAATATTTGCCTCAGATTGACTGTCTGTCGTTCTGAATAAATATCTTTACCCCATGTCTAACACTTACCCTGAGTAAGTCATCTATACGACCTTCTTTCTTTTCCAAGTCTTGATTTTTGTTACTTTCTAGTGCAGCTAATTTCAGCATTGTGAGATCAGTCTAAAAAGAACATTTTGAAGTATTTATCCTTTCCTTTAACAATTATAGCATTATTTTTCTCATGTTTGTTATGCAGAGAAATAAACTGCTTTAAAACATTCAACAAAACCAGCACATCTTATTTTCATGTGTTTTAAAAGTGACAGAGAAGGTTCTTAATCAAAACTGCTTTCCCTCTTCTTGAGTATGACTGTGAACTGCCGTGACAAACCACTCACAGTGTTAAAAGCATATAAAACATCAGCTAATTACTTTAAATACTCTGTATTTGGTCAACAGGTGAAGTAGACCTGACTAACTTGTGAAAGAGAGAACAGATCATGTCATAAATGACAGAGCGGATAAAACAGTTGCTTTTGGCTTTTAAAACTCATGACAGAACTATATCTTGATCATTCAGATCAGCAACTCATTTTTCTTCTTCAATGTCATATCTTAAATGCAATATGACAACAGCAGCTGTCACTTCAAATACTGCCTGAAAGAGCAGCCTCTACTTCTAAAATCACACAATGCTTGAGTAAAAGCCTACCAATGACATGGTCATCTAACTACTCGTGAAGTGCAACACTGGCAGCAGAGCAAGTGCAGAATATAAAACTAATCAGAGAGATTTAAATTATGAGCTGCTGAACTTAACAGAGAAATGCTTCGGTGGACTGTAAAAAGCAAAGCTTTTGAAAGCCTTTAAGAGTTTAGAAGAAGTTGACAGAAAAATATATCTATCAGTTTTTTTCCACAGTCTGAAGTGATACAGGACAGCTCTACTTAAAAATAGTTACCTGAGTAATTTTAAAAGATAACTGCTTTGGTTGTGTGATAGGGTGGTCCCCAAAAGCTAATGAAGTAGGAGAAGGACTATTCTGTCGAACCTGGAATATATGAAAACAAAGTATTTTAGATACAACTGTAATAATTATGAATATAGCCTTGTTCACAACTCATGGCAGGAAAACAAGATAGAATAGAGAAATCAGGTATCCTTATTAAAGAAAATACTACTTGAAGTCCTGCACTGAGAGCTATCACTATGCTGTTATATATCACTTGTAGTTTAGAAATGATGCAATATATTCTCTGAGAAAACTAAAGATTGTCACTTTTCGAAACAGATTGAAAGATTTAAGACAATACAAGACTAACATAAGGTGATGTCAGACACAGACTTATTTTTCACAACTCAAAAATAATGCGAGTTATTTTTGGAGTGGTTATTTCCCATGGGAAAACCACAAAGGGGAAGCTAGTGCAGATCAGAACACAAATCCCGTTAATGAAACTTCCCAAAATCCACCAGTTTATGTGAATGAGACTGTCCTTCAAGCCAAATTCTACAGTCTGTATTATACTCCATACTGTCAGCAAGAATAAGAGGATGCCTTAAGTTGGAAAGTATATGGGAAAAAAATTTGAGGTCTACCAGCAGAGAAAACAAATCCTTTCTGTAACTGGCAGAATCCGTTTGGCGTTTAGAATCACATGGAGATATGCATACCACTGCAGTTGTGCATATAAGGAAGAAAACAATTAATTAGCATGACAAGCAAAGAAGTTTAAAAGGATACGGGCAAATCAGGTGCCAATTACTGAAAACCTTACAATTTATCAAAAACTGAGCTTTTGAAGTCCAAAGTTAGGGGTCCAGTTTCCTCATAAGTAACAAAAATCCTCCCCTTTGTGTAAAGTTTCTAAATATGTGTCATTAGAACATTTTAACATTTATTCAACATTTTACATAATTTCTTTGTATTTAAAAAATGATGTTTTGGAAAAAAAGTCCCAGCATTAACAGAAAATTGTAGTTTTAATATTTAACTTGATCCTTGTTTCTCCTGTTGAAATAATGAACATCTTCCCAGGATTCCCTACTTTGAAAACTCTTCCCTTGAATATAATTATTTTCAGTTATGCTACTTTTAGACCATGAAAGTTTCTCCAGCAGTTACAAAGTTCACAAACTTACAGAAGAAGGAGCGGAATGTGAATTCTGAGGAGATCGGATTGCAGGAGGTACGCCTCGCACTGGACTAGAGCCGTTTCCACCTTGGTACTGTAGAGAGGACGTGGCACTCCAATTAGTCAATCTTATCAAAATACATTAAACATCTACTGAATGATACGGCTCATCCATACACAAGATTTGTAAATCAGACTGTACTACTTTAATAGTGTAGCCTTTGGCTATTTAAAGAAAAGCGTGAAAGAAAATGTTTTTGTATTTTAGCTCAAGTTGCACCAAGAGACAGTGCATCTCTACTTCAAGGTTTAATACTCATAAACATACGTAAAGAAAAGAAAGTATTCTCTTGAGAGGCCTGCCCATTACAAACAAAAATCCTTTTAACATAATAAAGTGCTAAAAGCACATTTTAAAGCTAAAGTAAGTTTTACAAACACACAAAAACCTTACCTCAAAATAGTCGCTAATCTTGTGACCACGTCCCCCAATATTCTTTCCTGAAAAAAATACATTAATGCATGTTAGAATTTACTAAATTACTTATAGATGTCTTACATTTTTACCTATATAGTAATTATAGCAAGTCTTACCACTCGTTAATTGGTTTTGTTTGATGTGCTACTATTTGATCTCCTTATGTAGATAATTAAAGGATTTGCCACAACAAAGATATTTGCATATTCCATTCATTGAGAAATCAGAAATTAAGTCACACTTCAATTCCTAAACCACATTAGTGCAGATGTAGCAGTAAACTTAGACCTCTTCTAGATAACAGGAAACTCATCTCTCATCCTAGAGATCAAACCTTTAGCTTCAAGCCCTTACCATTTTTAAGAACTATCTCAAAGTTCATCCACTTCCAAAATACCAAATTATCCAAGTTTATAACATTATGATTACTGTTTATAACATTATATGATCCAAGTGAGTCATGGTGCCCAAATGTCCAGCCCAAGTGCCAGTAACAGTGAGAGCACAGAGGGTGACAAGTATTTCCATTCCACCCAACCTGAGTATGAATCAGTTAACTCTCAGGGTTAACCCAGGAGATAAATACAGCAGAATGAGAGAGCAGAATTTATCTTAATCAGTATTGAGACTTCAGAAGCATCAATGTGAATAAATCTTTTTTCAACATGAGGACCTGACCTATATATGGCATTCTGGAGATTGCACCAATGCTTTACCCAGTGGCATAAATGTTTTCATCTATTTGGCCCTAAGATGATTGATAAATCTTAAGACTGTATTTGTCTCTTGTATAGGTCAGACTACTTGTTAGGAGATATCTTTATCATGGACTATCCAAAGCTTTTTCCTTTATAAAAAGAAATTATTTTGATGAATTAATCATTAGCCATAGGTCCAAAAATGTAATTTTGGACTATTTAGCCAAGATTGCCAAGCTTTCCTGTTGCTTCAGCTCTAAAGAATTCTTTCCACTCCAATATGCTGGCACTGCTGCTAACTTTGTGTCACTAAGAAATATCATGAAGAAACAGAGATATCTGGCAGCCCATTCTGTGTCAAGACTTTCAACAGAAATATTCAGGTAAACAATTCAAACACCTAGAACAGCACACACCTAACTCTTCCAGTAGCTGCCCAGTTAGCGTTCACATTGCTGCTACTGCCGTTTAGCCAGTTCTTTACCTCCCTATAATTCTGCTAGTCATTTCTGTCTTCATGCTTAATTCTCATATATCACTTTATCAAATTAAAATTTGCTTTCACCCAGATAAATGAGACAAGACTGCATTCCCTTTCAGTATAGAAAAATCCATTCTATATCATGTGACAGAACTCCACGCTAAAGAAATATATCAAATTATTTTGGCACAGCCAATTACAAATAGATTTACACTGATTTTATCCCACTTCCCAATTACTTCCGTGTTGTAAATAATACATAATGTCTATGACAAAAAGTTCCTAAAATTTTTATTCTCTCTAATTTCAACTCTCATTTGTAGTAGGAATGATAGGCTTCTAGAACAATGGAAGTAGGAAATTTCATTCAAGTTCTTCAAACAAAGCAGGTCTCTACGAAGCAACACTTACAAAGAAATTAATTTTAGTCAAACTACATAACTCTTCTACTAATAGCATGTTGCATCATCAAGACTTCCAGATATGGAGCCCATTGATACGTATCTGAAGTGACACTTCCTAGCTCAGTTAGAAACCAAAAAAAGTTAATACAGATGTTATCAAAACTATTTCCTCTCCTCTTTTGATGAATTTTTCTTTTGAGGTTAAATTTAGACCATTCCTTACCCAAAAGTCATATTAAAGAGAGGATTGGCAAAAACTATGCTTTGTAAATATTAAATCAGAAATCAATCTCATCCTGATTTCCCCAACCCTTAGGACAACTACTCTGTACAATAATCCACAGAAAAGAAAGAATAAAATTCAATTTTTAAATATACCTGAAAAACAAGCAATCAGGTACTATAATCCATAATTGCCTTTCCCCCTCACCAGACCTACTGAAAAGAAATACAAACCACAAAGGTATTCTGGATGAGAAGAGCGGCTACAGTTCTTAAAAAGTATACCGAGTTGTATCTTCGTGGCAAGTTGCACACGCAGTAGTGCACAATTCTTACACGTAATCACCAGCCCAGTTCAGGTTTTACTTGCCCGTGCCTTCCAGTGACAAACGAGGGCAGAAGGGAGAGGATACATAATTTATCATCCAAAACCCAACGCCCATCTGATGCAAGCAAAAATACAGGTCTTTTAAGGCTAACAGTGAAAACTTTGTGCATTATAATTTGACAAAATACATGCAGTAACTATTTAATTAATTTACATTTTAATTTACCTTGGCTGCTTTCACTTTGAGTGTCTGCTTTTCTTTTTCTTCCTCTGGAAGGTTCTGACTGTTTCTTCTCTGGAGTCTATAAGCAACAAAAAGAACATGATCCAACAGCAGCTCTACTTATTTAGATTATTGCCATATTATTGTGAAATTAATGTAAATCCTCATTCATAAAACATGATTTCACAATTCAGCAGGGATGTAATTTCAGATCATAGCTGAAGCAGATAATATGATCCTTGGTCAATCAGATGAATATAAGCTAGAAAAGATATTTAAGAAAGTGAGAAATAATTCTTAAATAATTTCCCAAAAGGCAATTCTACATATTAATTGTTAAGCAATTATACCTTTTCATCCATTCCGGGGTTTATGAACACCCAATTTGGTTTCACTATGGCTACATTTTACCAAGATCTTTGTATCTTTGTTTCTGGGTATTTTAAAGCTTAATACTTAGGGAAATAAGCTGATTCATGATGGTGTTTTCTACACTTTGCCACACTATAAAAACGAAGTTCTAGTGCTTTGATAAGAAGCCAAGAACGTTACGCATTTTCAGAAGTGCAGGAGTCATCTCCAAACTAATATAAACTGTAGCTTTCTAGAATCTGCTCAAAATTTGAGTATCCACTTGGAAAGTATCGCCATCCCCATCCCTTTATATTTGTATCTAAATAAAATCTCAAGAAGGTCAAAGAAAAACATCAATGATAAGTGAAAAAAAAAAATAGACCTGTTAAATTTTTATTCCAAAAATATTATATATAGTTGCCTAGAAACTACAGTCAGCATGTACAATACAGATAACAAGAAAGGGCTGTGATCAGAAGCATCTCTAAATTATATTTGCTCTCCCTTGATCTGAGGATTCAAACCAGTTAGTCTCCCCAGCGTTAAGTTAAATTCTACAGGCTGCTTCGGTTCAAGGAAAAGATACTGCAGCTGTATATGTATTCAGCCTCTAAGCAGCTTCATAATAGAAGCTGGAGAAAGCACAGAAGCCATTACATGTACTCTGTTCTAGAATCAAGAAATCAATGATCCCTAATAATCTTGGACTAAATTTGAAATCAGGAATAAGATGCTTAATTTTTTTCATGATACCATCATTTTATTATTTCACTGTATTCGTCACTTTGTACTCCAAGTACCCTTTCTCAACACAGCAAATGATACCAAAATTCAAATTTCAACCCATCCCTAAAAGCATTTCAAGTTATGTTGCAGTCCAAAAATCTTCACATGGATACTTTCAAATATAATTTTACTACTAATATCTGAAAATATTTATTTTGGCAAAGAACCACTTTAAGTTACCTGTGACCCATAGAAAATTAGCAGTCTATAAAAGAACAGTCAGGAAAGAAAGGTCTTTCTTATTTATACCATGTATTTTTTTTTTTTTTTTAGAAGTTTCAGCTCTGCGGATAGCTTCATATAAATACCTTTGGAAGTTTTACAATTGTAGCTGTCGCATTATCAGGCTACACATGAAATTCAAATTAAATACTTTTTATTTTAAATAAACACTTCCAACCAAAATCTGCATCTTTTACAGTTTGCTTTTTACATTAGCAAACTGTACAACACAGGCTTCTGGAAATGACTTCATCTTCAGACTGCATGATTCTAAAAGCAGAAAGAATAGCTTAGAAACATTACTTTAATGCAATTACTGACAGGTAAACAGGTGACATTAAGCTACCTTTCCAGAAAATAAATTGAAACTATTTAATCTAACATTTTTATGTTAGTTTTATTTTCCAGCTTTCAGTTCAGCAGTTACCATTCTAATGTAGTCAGTTTTGCCTACCATACTAAGCAAAAAAAATTTTGTTTAAAAGCCAATTAATGACTAAACATTTAAGGTTTCTACCACCAAAATTAATTTTGAACTGCGGCAACTGATGTCTTGTATTTAAAAAAGATATTTAAAAAGGTTTATAGTTTTAAAACTGAAGCTCAAGTAACTCATAAGTGTCTACTTCTGATTTATTTCAGTGTTTAGTTTAACCTTCCAAACTAAAAGGTATTAGCACACTAATCAGGTTAGTAATGAGGTTACCCAACAAGGTCACGTTCACCTTTTCCAACTACAAACTTCACACGGTAATGTACAGCTTACATCACTAGAATATGTTCTCCAAAATCTCTTCTAATGAATGAAATCATATGAATTACAAGAAATTGAAGTCTAATGGGACTGAAGAGTATCCTGAAAAATGAAGACTGAAGCTGCTTTCAGTTACTTCAGAAGGTAACAAACAGCCAAGATTTAGATTAAAACAGCACTACTTCACAAGCAAGGCAACTAGTTTTGAAGTTATCCAAAAGTAGATTGTAAAGCTACGTTAAAGTTACCCACAGCTTGGCCCACCACCAGAGCCTCATACAGCATGGTCTTGATTCTAGTTTACCCTTCAATTTTAGTATGCTTCCCCTGAGCCCTCTCTTCACATTTACAGTTTTAAATCTTGGCTTTCCACATCCTCTTTTATAAAATAAACATTTCTAAGTACCAATTCTCAGTTAACCTTCTTAAAAAAAAACAAAAAACCTTGGGTAAGTATTTTTATGTACTTTATGTATAGTTACATATTTTCCACCATTATTGTAGAACTGCTAACAACATAACTGAGGAATTTAATTTTGTAGAGAAACTAAGAAATTATGTGTAATAAAATACATTTTTTTAATTTTTGTCTCTTAAAAACATAAATCTCCAGTATGCTTAATAGTTATTATTTTGTTAATACTTTTTCATATACATAATGAACGAGTTCATAGTTTTCCACAATTAATTTACTTCTAAATCCTCCCCCCCAAGCTCCACAACTACAGCAAACAAACACAGCAGCACTGTTTTCCTCTGCAACATATTATAAATTCCAATTAGATCAAACCTTTAGTTACTTCTAAAATTAAATTTATGAGGGTTCTGTATTACTGGGAACCACAGTAACTAAACAGCAACTACTAGAGAGCAGAGTGAAACATTTATATAACCAATCAAACTGGACAAATCAAGCAACAGTCAAAGCTGTCCTCCTTTACATAATTCATTATCTATGGAAAACAGAAAATACTAGTTGTAAGTAAAAGAATGTATTTGTAATCAAAACAAGGAAGAGTAATGTACTTAATGAGGGACGGTAGGGAGGGCCAAAATATCAGAAGACTACCAGAAACACTAGTTTACAACCCGAGGAAACCGATTTAGGATTTATCTTAACTACAAATAGTTAATATACACTCAAATTAGGACATATGTACCACAGCAATAAAGCATTTAATAAAATAAAAATAACGTATACATTTGAAAAAAAACCTGGAATACAGGTCTGGATATTACTATTAAACATGCAGCTAGTGTTTATTGCTTACAATGCTGATCTGAATCCAGAATAAAGCCTGGTTCAAGTTATTTTGCAGTTCAAAGTTTACATCTTTGAAGTATCTCAATTAAAACTATTATTCAGATAAGTTGCCCCTCTTCATATATCCATCAGACAGAAAAACAACAAAAAGAGAGATGTATTTTCTGCAACCCCATGTGCAAAAAGTAAAAAAGGAAAAATTTCACACCAGAAACAAAAAGGGTGTGTGTGTGTGTGAGAAGCCTGCCTTGTTTTGAAAACCGTGAAAGACTTTTTCTTTTAATGTGTTGCTTAGTGATGAAAGCACAGAACAGCGACATCAATGTACCATCACAATTTGATCAGAAACTGACATTCTTGCTAGAAATTAATTTCAATTATTCTGAAATTTGCATTTCTACATTTCCCCCCCCCCAAATCTATTATGATAAAACAGTTCTCTGCTTCCCATATGAGTAAGTCTTCGTGTTTCTATGCTACCATCCACAAAAGGAATTCCTTATTATGATGAAACCTTCATTCTCACACCATTAAAAAACCCAACCAACCAAAAAACCACCACGACCACCACCACCCCTCTCAAAAAAATCCCACAACCAGTTTGCAATACTGAGAACTAAAGTGTGCTTTTATGGGATTACAGTATATAAGTAACTAGACGTTATTTTAAGAGCAAAACTCTGAAAACTTACTAACTTATTTGGTATTACAATTGTAATTTAAGTGAATACAACTGACAACTTCTGAAAATGGCTGAAGAAATTGTATTTCATTGTTCAATGTCATTAAAACTCATCTTTCAGAAAACAGAAGAAACCTGAAGCACAGTCCAGTGGAGCACTGGAAATCTACCTGTGCAATGACTTTTTAAAGAAAAAGCCTATTTCTGTTTTAGAATCCAAGTTTCAGAACATTTAAAAAGAAAACAAACACAACTGTGCCTACCCAGAAGCATTGCTTGAGGTTAAACCACCAAAGATAGGCATCAAACTTTCAAACTTACATGCCTTGGTAAACCCTTGCCTCCGTATCTCATTTATACAACCGTAAAATAATATTTTTCTACACCAAAAAGTTATTACACATACAGCTGGTGTTCTGAGATCACTTGACTAATCAGACACGTTATTCTGCCAAGTAATTGCAGTAATGCATTGTAACCTTCGGACTTCTGCAGCACATTTCCATTCCCACCCCTACATCAGAACTGCTTCACTGCAACACTACTGGAAGTATATCTAGGAAAAGCCATGAAGAAAAGCAACAGGCAGACTCTTTTGGTGAAGAAAATAGTCTATATACAATTGAAAGGAAAATCCAGCTGGGAAAAACAAGGGGGAAAAAACATAGTAGAGCCTTTTTCAAAGAGAAAAACATGAAATCACACAATTCTTTTTAAGATATCGGTATTAGAAATAAACTAAATTCACTTGCTAGCAGTCCATTGTAAAAGGAAACATCAGACAGTGTCTCACAGTGATTAAGTGAATGAACAATTAGGCCCCCAAATAAAGCTTTGACATGCGAAATTAACATTGAAAGCACATTCCAAACAACATTCCCTCTGGCATGACACATACTTAAAAACAGGTCTAGCCTTGGCTAGAAATACGCTCCTGCTTACAATGGGTATAATCTTATTGATGCAATCTGTGACGTACACAGGCAAAATCGTCAAAAAGGACTCGCTGACTCCAAAACAGGTAAATTTTGAGAGCTGCATTAGAGTACCTATATTAATGCTGGTCACTAAGAGGCAAATCTTCTACTCAAGGGAAATCTGCACTCTGCACATTAAAGCCTATTAATAGTATGAATCCTTTTTTTGGATTCTGAAGTGGTACTAGGTAAAAGAACACACAGTAATAACTGCAGCTTTTAAAATGCAGGTGATAGCTACTGGCTGAACTTGGAGTAAATCCGTATTTTTGAAGAAAACATAGCAAACTAGTTTCTAGATTATTTTCAAAGATGCAGCCAAAGACTAGTCAAAGTTTATCTGTGCTGACAAAAACCTTACTTACTAAAAAAAAGACAGCAAACTGTTTTAAGCATTTTCAGCTCCAAAAGCTGTATGTATCATCACAACATGACTACGTAAGATAATAAAGAAGCAGAAGCACCTAGTTTCATGACCAAAAGTCCTAAGAAATTTTTATGAAGTAATGTCTCCTCCTGCAAGAGATGGTATCTTTAAGTAATGTATGCTTTTTCTTATCTAGCTGTGTATTTTATATAGAAGCTTCTAAAGTAAAATACAAAATAAGGCAAATTGGGATATAAAATTATTACTTGCAGCACTAAAATTCTGAAGTAATGGTGAATCTCCCCCGTATACTTACCTCTGATTCTTTATCACTTAAAGATCCCAAGCTTCCAAAACTGTGATTTGAACTTTCGTTATTTGTTGAGGCCTACCAAGACAAATAAAATTACTAAATATTATATGCAGATTCATGAAACAGCTAATCCACTATCATCATTCACAGTTATAACAAGTAACAGTCATAAAATTTCATGCTTGCAAGGAAAAAAAACAATTTATTAACTATAGAGCATTCTTGACTTGCAAGGAGGATAAAGAGTTTGACAGGTGGATGTTTTGAAAGGGCACAGTAAATTCTGTATTTCAATTGCTTTTAAGCCAAGTAAAACTCCAGAACAGTCAAAACCACTTCAGTCTTATTTGGGAATAGCAAAACATCCAATGAAAAATCCTACCAAACAATTCCACAGAACAAGCTTAAAAAGCCAACATTGCTGAAGGTGCTGGAGACTACTAAAAGATTTCATTTTTCATCATTTTTCAAAGAAAAAGAGGGTTTAATTTTCTCCGAGACAGACAGTAGGCTGCTGCAAAGATTGAAGGATTTTTTATCCATTCAATAACAGAAAATAACTTATTGACAATATTCTTCTACATTCTTTAAACAAATAATTTCCCCCAAAGTAATAAATTTAGACTGAAGGAAAGGGGAGAAGAAACTGAAATAGTCTCAAGTCACAATACTTCTAAATTAGAAATTTTCTAATGCCGAGATCTTTTGAACAGAGAACGGCAACAAGGACATTTGACTGAAAGAGCCTGTTCCACATGCATATAACAAAAATTCCAACATCAGTTGAGCTTCTTTTTATTAAAAGAAAACCAAAAATCCTATGCCTCTGGATTATTCTCTTCCATATAGGAAGGCAGGGCAAATACTTTGATGTGAAACAACTACTTCCAAGGCAAACACTCAGTTTGCTTCAAAGCATTACATTCTAACACTGCATTGGTTTGCAGGACAATACTGATGTGTGACACCTTCTGAACAACTAGATCATCTCTGAATTGAAGTTTCTGGAGAAATGTTAACTAAATCCACAAAACTTCCCTGTGTGTTCTCCCCCACAGGCAGTTGCTACTGTAGAAAAGCCTGTATGTAGTTCTTCCTTGCAATGTCTGAGTATCTGGTGATCTGAATCAGATAAAACAATCTCAAAAACCTACATACATATTTTCACCCTTGCTTACTGCAAAAGCTTGAAGATTATTATGTGCTTTCCTCCCTCAATGATTCCAAAACTCTTCAGCAAAACAGTAGATATGGGTAGGCTTTCAAAATAGCAGCCCCAATAAATAGAAATACATCTCAATTTAATTACTAGAAAAATAATGACCTAGAATGTTTCAAAAAATAATCTGTAAGTGCAGCTGCAAGCTCTGTATACCTCTATTGTCTTGCTAGGTTTGGAAAATGAGAATTTGGTAGGTGTGGATTTGGATAAGTATGTGAAGAGGATTTTTTCTCATTTTTGCCTTCAAAGTGAAAGCAGACCAATGGAGATCACATTTATACACCACGTGTTCCCAGTTACCTTTATACATCAGATCAAAAAGGTTTTATCAAGTTTCTTTAATAAAAATCAGACTAGACTCTATCAACATCTCCCACCAAGACTAAAGACTGTATTAATGAGATTAGAAGGAAAAAAAAAAAAGGGGAAAAAAAGGCATATTCCAAACACAGCCCAGACCTTCCACTACACTTAATGTTATCTGCTTGGATACCCTGAATGGGCAGAAATAAGAGATACAAATCTGATATTGCATTTTACTGATGGTGAGATAAATCACAGGACTAGATATTGGCATTCCCCTTTGCCTCCCAAAACTAACAAAAAAAAAAAAAAAAAGGAAGCAGCAAAAGGAAGAGATAAAGAGATATTGCACTGTATACTGAAGGTCATTTGTGGAGTATTTCTGGCCGAAGGTAAGAACATTGTCTTAGGTAAGTATCTGCATCAATCAGAAGACAGTGGTAGCAGTACCTTCTGCAAACAATTATCAAAGCTTTTGGTAATGTTAAAAAAAACGCTAAACGCTTTATCCTTCTATCCATTTGAAAACCAACTGGATGAGATAAAATTGAATGTTCAAATAGACCTTGGAACATGTCAGGGACAAGAAATTTATATTTTACATGGTAGAGTCAAAAAGGAAATCAGCTGGTTTAATTTTTTTTTCTGGCTAATTTGGATGAAAAGATCAAAAACATGAAAGTGGAATGTAATTTGCCTGAAAGTGAAATCAGCTGAGCAACTGACAGTAACAACAACAAAAACCACCCCAAAACTTGAACAGATTTATGGAAATGGTAAGCAGTGACTTAGAGGGGATAAAACTTCGTAATTACTTGTAGG